CACACACTCACACACTCACGCTCACACACTCACACTCACGCACACGCACATGCAGACACACATAAAACGCGGGCGCCCAGTCGGAAACAATATAGTAAGGAAAGAAGTTAAGAACAGAAGTAAGGCCTACCAATGACGCCTTACAACAACCCGCAATGGATGGAAAGAGGGTGGCCGAAAAACGATGAGGAAAAAGAGGGGGATGTAGTGAAAGGATGACCGTATAAATAAAAAAATGAGCAGAACAAAAGGAGCAGGGTGACATCAAAGAAAATAGTGAGTAGGATTTGTGGTTGAGGAAGCGATTTAACCCAACACTTCCTGGTTTCCTCTCAAAATTATAATCCTTTTTTTTTTCTCCTCCCGACCGTGAGCAAATATTCTCTTTGTTTTATTTATTTATCCTATTGTTTCGACTTTGACGTTTGGTCAGGTTCGAGTTAACCCTCGTATTGTCCTCGCTAAAGCTTTTGTTAACACTCCAACGACACATAGAGCTAGGCCTATTGTGAATGTAATTTGTGAATGTAACGGAAGGTATTTCCGTGACTTCTTTCTGCCTCAGAGGAAGTTAGACAGGCAGGACGTATGATTTGACGGATGAGGTTATGCACAACATACACACAGTCAAGCCTCTACAAGAGTGAGTTGTAAATTTAAAACTGGTTCCGACTGAGTAACAGTCGTTGTCTTTGGTAGGATACATCCGCACGTAATGGTGGGTATTCTAGCAATAAGCAGTGAGCGGTAACGAAATCTTACAGACTTGAACAATACATTTTATTCGTTTTTGCTGGATTTGGGTGATAATTAGGTGTTAGGGCTAGAGGTTATGGTTAGGGTTAAGTTAAGATTACAATTACCCCTACCCCTACCTCTACCCCTACCCCTACCCTTATCATAACCTTAATATACATCTCATTACCGAAACCAAAGAAGTGTTTCTTTTTGTTTTAGTAAGAGTTTTACAGCGTTCGCAACTACATAAGGTATGAGCACATGTCAAAGAAGTGTAAATAAAATGGGCAAATCTGGACAAATGACAACAGTTGTTTAGTGCTGATTAGGAATTTTTGTTCAATTGAGCTCATCACACTTATGCCTTACATTAGATCTAGACTATATCACTTTAATTTGGGATTTTGTCAGTACAGAAGATGTTTTAAAAGTACCAATTATACTATCTTCAATAAATAATCAAATGAAATTAGATAAACAAATAGTTTTTTAAAGATATAATATAAAATCGGCTTTCAGGAAATTCAAACAAGAGAAAAGCGTAATCGGGACTTTTTAAAAATCCTCCGAGAGTAATAGCCTAAGTGCTGACAGATGGACAGAGTGATGCAAAAAACGGAGTATGGAGGTACACATTTAGTACGTTCGTTTGTTTGTGTTGTGTGTGTGTGTGTGTGTGTGTGTGTGTGTGTGTGTGTGTGTGTGTGTGTTTGTGTGTGTGTGTGTGCGTTTGTGAGTGAGTGAGTGTGTGGGTGTTTGGGGGCCAGGGAGCAGGATGTTATGGTATTTCGAGGCTTCTGTCTTTTCATTAGAACCGAAGTCCAAATCATTTCAGTTTCCTTATTTGAAGGAATAAACCCGGGCTGTTTGGGGTTTGGGAAGCTAGTAAAGAAAAGAAAATTGCCATACGCAAATAGAGAATACTTTCTCAACGACTGGAAGCAAATCATGGACGTCTTGTGTTTTGGAGGAGTAAAACGGTTAGCTCTATAATTTCGACCTTGAACAGAAAAAGAAATACAAAAGTGAGAATGCAAGGTACGATGGGGCACAGGCAAGAAGAGTTTTTGACAAAGGCTATGAACAAGGATTTTAAACACCAAATAACTGATTTTGCAAACATGTCAGGAACAAAAAGACAGACAAAAGACAAGACAACAGCCTTCCTCCGAAGAAACAAAAAATCAAACCCCAAAAAACATTTTTTTACGGAATAGATCTAGATCTAAATAAAATAAAAAATCCCCAGAAAAAAAATTAAAACAACAAAAAAAGAATTAATTTACAAAAAAGCACCCCCCCCCCCCCAAAAAAAAAGAACAAAAAAAAAATCAAGACTGGAGAAAAGAAAACAAAAACATGAAAAACTGAATGTGAGCGCTCCACAAAGCAGCACTTTAAAGCAAGTAACCACGCAAGTTGTTACAAAATTCTAAAGCTTACCTGAAGTGAGAAATGTGTAAGATTTTGTGAAACAACGCTCACTCCCAGTGTTCAGATTTGCTTGTTGGTGGCACCCAACGTATCTCGTAGTTTTCCTGGAGAGAAATCCAATGCCAGAGCACAGAAGCACAACTCGAAACAACAATATTTTTCTAACAACAGCAGTCAGTCGAAAAAGAGACTCAACAGTAATCCAACAGAATGTTACAAAGGAGACCGTATTTCGTATTTCAACGCATTTCTCTGATATTATTACTGTATCTCGGTTGGTGGTTCTAGTTTCGTTTTCCGCACAACTCTGCTGGAGGTAGGTGTATCTCAAGCTGTCGCCTGAAACGCACAGTGTCACTCTCACTGTTTCTCTCCCAGAGGCAGAAGCCAACTGTTCGTTCAACTGACGGTCGACCGTTTCCCTTCTCTCTCCGTCCCCTCTCTCACTCTTTCGTCTGTTCTGTCTCTCTCCGTCGTCTGCTAGGTTTTCGCAGTCTCAATACCTTGCCCCCGCGCGCGGGTAGTCGTCGCCAGCGAGCGGAGCGCTGTCTATTTCAGCCCGCTAATGACCCACCGCCACCCGCCCCAGCCCGTCCCGCCGTTTGTGACGCTTGTCGCTTGCCCAAGCCCGAGCTTGCCGCCATCTTGAACATTTGGAGTTCCTCAGCTCTTCGTGTGCTGAGCAGATGCCATCAAGAAGTGACGTAGAGAAGAGAGAGAGAGAGTTTGGCCGTCCACTCGTGTGTGTGTGTGTGTGTGTGTGTGTGTGTGTGTGTGTGTGTGTGTGTGTGTGTGTGTGAGAGAGAGAGGGTGGATGTGCGGGTGCGTGTGGGAGTGCCTGTCCACCACCCCGCAAGGACAATGCTAGGGGGCCCAGGGGATCCAAGAGACCGACTGGAGGTTGAGGAAACGTCAGGGGATATCTGGAGAGAAGGAAATGGGAGTTGGAATTCTGAAAAATGACTCCAGCATCTGAGGTGTAATGGCATGACTTGGCTGTTCTCCTCAAGCGGACTTGATTTGAATTTTGTTTCAACATTGTGAAGATAATTTTATATTATGTTATCAAGCATATTTATCTCCGCCTTTCAGTTTGGGATATCCTGCGCAACCTGAGTTGGCCTTAACTTACAGAATCTATCAGTCTGAGTTCTAACCAATCTAAATTGTGTCAAAGTGGGTGTAAAATATAAACACCACTCTATCATGCACAATACAGGTTTGCCCTGTCTTAAAGCAAAACAGCTCCCATCCTAGAACATCAAAATCATATCGAAAAAAAATGAATAACATCTAGTAAGAGACAAAACAGCCACCCTCCTAAATTATTATTAAAGTTAAGAAAAAGGGTAGGGGGGGGGGGGCGTCAAAAATGTATGACAAACAAAGAAGACAGGAAAAAGGCAGCTTGAGCTCAGAAGGGAAATTATACTTGTAGAGTCTTGTAGGAGCCAGAGCTATCGACAGTTGGTAGGCGCACAGGCCGTGAATCGTGACGGGCTCTGAGTGCTAAAGAATAAAACACCAAAGAAATACTCCAGGGGCAGGCTGAAAACCCGGCTCTGTGCATCCACGGGACTTTGAACTGCGGAGGATTTCTGTTTTCGTCGAGCCTTAATCGAGATCTGAAAAGATTCGCTTGTATTAAGAGATGAGACTTCACCTCGCTCGAGAGAGGAAGGGAAAACGGGGGTATAGTGAATGAGTCATGGCAGACAAATGAAACCGGAAAGCAGTTTCTGTCTTCCCAATAGAAACATTAAGCTTTTTTTTTTCACTGCATGGTATAAGAAAAGAAATTAATTTTGTGATTTTATCCAAGAGCTTTTAATGATCTTTTATGGTGTTATGATGATGTTGATAACCCTAACAATAACGACAGAGCAAAAGTAGATGAGGGTAAATATCACGATTTTTTTTTTTTAACGGTTTTAATTAAAGGAATTTAGGCACCTTAAAAAGAAGGGGGGAAGGGGGAACGGGGAAGCAACAGCTTTGACATACAGTTGTAATATTCTAATGTTTGTTTAGATCTCATAGGAGGAAGGAAACTTGGAAGTGCACCCCTCTTTGCATCCGCAGGACATTGTTGGCTTAAAGAGAATTCCTGTTTCTACCGAGCCTCGTTCAAGACCTGAAGAGGTTTGATTGTTATAATACCTGATACTTCACTTAATTTGAGGCAAGGAAAGGGGAAATAATAGAGAGAGGGGGGGGGGGGGGCTAAAAAGTACTTCTACTTAAATTTGGACCTAAAAGAGATGAGATGTAGCAGAACGAGTGGAGACGATTCCCAGGACATAGGTGCACGGGGAGCTCTTGTCGATAGCCTGTTCTCTGGCACGGGGTCAAAATAATTGATGATGATGATGATGATGATGATGATGATGATGATGATGATGATGATGATGATGATGATGATGATGATGATGATGATGATGATGATGATGATGATGAAGGTGATGGTCAAGGGAGAAAAAAAAAAGAAAATCGGAAAATTGTTGTTAGGACTAGATACATATCCATTTTCTTTTAAACAAGAGAAAAAGGTAAACTTTTCTTTTTAAAAATATATTATTATTATTATTATTATTATTATTATTATTATTATTATTATTATTATTATTATTATTATTATTATTATTATTATTATTATTATTATTATTATTATCATTATTATTATTATTATTATTATTATTATTATTATTACTACTACTATTATTATTATTATTATTATTATTATTATTATTATTATTATTATTATTATTATTATTATTATTATTATTATTATTATTATTATTATTTGAAACTTTAGATGTTGGCCTCTTAATATTATTTTCAAAATTTATTCACACAAAAAAAGAAAGTAATTTTTACTAAAATCTTGTTTCTGCTGCTACCACTGTTTACTCATTACTTTTACTTAAGGTTTTCCTCGTTGTATGCTGTGAAGTTGTACCTGCAAGATTTTCTCAAATAGGCCAGCCTAACGGCTACATTTTCTGTTAAAATGTTGCATCCAACTCAGCCTCAACTGACCCCGACAAGCTGGGTTAAAGCAGCCCACCTCCTAAACGATCTAAAATGTTTCAACGTGCTCGCAAAAACATTTACAAGAAAAGGCCCTGACATTTCCCGATCGGACTCGGCCCCAGAAAGAGGTTGGCAATTAGTGGACTTGATTCAGCCCCCTGAGTACATCGCGGTATCCGGCCAGGGAAGTATTGAGGTGGCCGGGACGTGGAGATGTTTCTTTGATGTAAAGGTGAACACGAACTCACCAGTGTGTGGGACTGCTTCAACGAGAGTCATCTGTGAGGGAAAGTCAAGGTTAGCTGTTGCTTGAGGACCTAATAGTGTAGATAGGGACGTTTAACCTATACCATTTCACATTTTTTTCAGTCATTTGAGTCACACAGCTGTGAAGAACGTTTGACTTGCACACGCGGAAAAAGTGTACATTTGTAGGATGTTTTAACCTTTCACGCCTCCTCCCCCAATTGAGACAATTTAGATCACTTTGGATTTTGGCCTCTTCGACTTTGCCTGTCACGGCCACAGCTTGGGATGAGAGGGATACAACATCCCTGCAGAAAGACTGAGATACTGGATAGAAATTCCATTTTACTCGGGAATCGAACGCGTTTGTCCTGTATTCGACGGAGGAGCGTAACGGCGCACATTATGTAGGGATTTGAAACACAAAGACATACAAAAAGTATGTCGGTGAAAAAAATAGGTGTGTGTGTGGGGGGGGGGGGGA